TGTTTGAGCCATGCCCATGACTTGAGCTGAGGTTTGGATAAAGACATGAACCTACATTGTGGAGAAGGAAAGATGATAGATGTTACAGGTTCAGAACATGCTCAAGGGGTCTGACGTGGGAACAGTAATAATATAGTTGACAAAATCAAACAAAGAATGAAAGAGAATGAAAGCTATGGGAGTGGTGAGCAGGACCCATATATGAAGTTAAATAACTTACCCAGGGCCATGGTACAGTAATGAGTGAGTAAGTAGGAAGGTGAAGTGGACATTACAGATAAATGGCATACATGGTGTACCAGGCAAAGGATCCTGGGAATAGTAACATTTCAGTGGCAGAGAGAAGTGGTAAAATGGAATTTCAAACTTCACCTTAGGGACCAGAAAAGCAATGCGACTTAGGGTAAGAAAGGGAGACTCATAGGAGCTCTACTGACCTACAGAATGAGTGACATGCTTTAAGAGCATTTAAACTCATTTAAAAATACTTTGCAGTCAAAAAATGAAACACACCATTAAAAAAATACTTTGCAGGCAGTAATAAAACGCATATAAGAAGGCATGCAAAGTCCATGGACTCTGGCTAGGTCATGCTGAGCTGGAGAACAAAAAGCAGGAAGTATGCTGGGAATGAGAAAATTCAATAGATGAGATCTCATAAAAGTCAAGAGTTACATCTTGTACTTCCGTGTACTAAACAAAAAGAACATGTTTTATTAGGCAGTAAAACTAAAATGCTGTTGTACTACAAACAACCTCCTTCCTTCCTCCCCACCCCTACCCCCAACTGCCCCAGTTTGTCATAGAACCTGCAGAGCCTAAACATGGAGGCAATGATCAAATGGGCCATATGTGCAAATACGAGAACTGCAGAATCCTATGGTCCATGAAATGAGCAAACAATACTCCTCCTGAAGAATCAAGACCATCCACTCTCTACCTGAAGGCACCTAATGATGAAAGCTTGTGCCTCTACCATGTACTCAAACTGTTCAGAAGTTTTTCTCTTTCTAAATTTGATCTATCCTTATGATGGATTTACATTTGCTTTCTTGTAGCCTGATAACTCCAGGTCTTCTTTCTGGAGATGCAGAGAACATCTTTAATACCATTTCTATCTATTAGCACACTGATATTTAAAAACACTCACTGCTTTCGCTCTTCGAGTCATCCTTTTACCTGTATAAAAATCACCATCAAATCTTCTCCAATCTCTTAGAAGTTACTACTCCAATCTCTGTCTCTGTGAATCTTTTCCAGCATATCCCCATCCTTTCTACAAACAGTACAAAAAATATGGCAACATTTCTAGCTGTCATAACCTCAGATTCTTTTCTAGCATCCTTTTCTACAGCTGCAGTGGTAGAAATACCCTTGTGTTTATTGAGCTCAATCTCCTACAGTCCCTGTTTCCCACCCATCACCCTCTGAGGCAGTCTGTTTGCTGCATGTCATGAAGAGATGCATAATCCACAGTGATTGATTTCATCAGTATAAAGAATGCCATACCTCATCACCCTATCATTTCCGATTAAGATCACTCAGTCTAATGTACACTACATCGTGTACCAAAATGCCTGAGCAATGTTTCATGCTTCCCATGCCTCTTTCTTTCTAGACTTTACTTCCTTAAGTATTCAAACCGGAGAAGCATTTTTTAAAAAGAGGAAGATTAAACCAAGAACGAGTATTTATAATGTACCGTGTGATTTTTTTTTTGTTGCTTTGTATGTTCCTCCCCCATGGTATCACCCTTGTTGTCACTGTATTTGATGTCGGTGCCCTGCATCTTGTATGTACACTTCTCTAATTCAGGGAGGGGAAGGGAATAAACAAAATGCTTAAATAAGGATACAGGTTGACCCATTATAACAATGAGATGTACTGGATACTATGTTGAAAAGGAACTTTGCGACTTCCGTGGGGCAGGGGAGGAAGGGATGGTAAGGGAAAAACAAGGGAGGCGGCAACAATGCTCAATAGGAAATGTACTCATTACCTTGCTCGTGTAACTGTAACCCCTCTGTACAGCATTTTTACAATAAAAAATGTACAAAAATAGCAGAGAGAAAATTGGAAACATGGTCCCTGGGAAAAGTGTTGGGTGAGAAAATTCAATGAACTGGCTAAAAATCTGGGGCATCCATTTACTCACATTGCTACTTTTAAAAAGAAAATTACTAATAATAGCATCTTGAGAACTACCTCCTATTAATCAATGACTATCATAGACCAATCCTTGAAATAATATTTCAGACACATTATGTCATGAAATACTAATGACAGTCTTCTGAACCTAAGATTTACATTTTAAGGCAAGAGAATTAAAACCTAGAGGTCAAGCAGCTTTCTCAGTGTCATGATAGAAGGTGGCACTGGGATATGAACCTCATTTCAGTTTCCTTATAGTCTTGTAATAATAATAATAAAATAATAATAATTATCTCTTTTCAGTAGACACTATCTGTACTACATCTGAATTGCCTGATGATTCAAAACATAACTCTTTGTAATTAGTTTTGAGATGCTCCTCCAAATACATAAAATATGTTTTGCTAGGACCAGATATACCTGCAGAGCAGGCAGACAAGGACAAAGATTGTAAGAGTAGAGAAAGGTCACACACCAAGTACAATGTTGGCAATCATGACTTGAGCTGGACTGAAACATGTCCATGCAGTTCTGTCATTGTTGCATTTGGAAAATAAACAGGATTTCAAGGTGACCATTCAACCTAAGAAAACAGTGTTTTCAAGCACTTTTAATTCTACTCTAGAAGCATTCACTTGTCTATAAATCATGTGCTAATTTATTCATTAAAATAACCTGTGCTTGGCAACATTTTATTAACCTAAGTTTATGTTAATAAGATTAGTACTTGTATTTTTAAATGCATCTCTTTATAATTATGCTGTAACTCTGATTCTTCCAATATAGACTTGGCCCTTTTACCCAACCCCCCAAACCTGTACTCTACATCCAATGAAATGAGTTCAAGTTGTAATATTATAGAATGGGTTTGGAAAGCCCAGATTTGACAGAGTCTATTCCCATACCCAGTCATGTGCCAGAATCTCCTGTGAGTTTTCTTAGACATATATAATAATTGATTGCTGCCTATATATCTTTACTGGCTACTGTACCATAATCTCTAGGCACATTGAAATTTTTCAGCAACTGGCTCACAAACCAGTACCGATGTACCATCACCAGGAGATTTCCACCCAACACAAATCCACAAATCTGCTCTTAGAAGCATGAGATCGTGAAACATACATTCTACAGTCATAACTTGTCATTGCAAATGATCCAGTGAGTCTCAGAAAACTTAATGGTAAATTCCATCATTACATGCTGACCCTGCAGTCTTTTTGCGGAGTTTGGTAACTATTTCAATGATAAGTTACTGCAAAGAAACCCTATCAACCCACAGAAAAAGATAGACTTTATGTGACCCTTGGAGATCAGGTGAAGACAATTATGATAGACAGTGGGGGTGGGAGCTGTTTATCTGGCAGGGTCCTATGAAAAACTAGAAAAAATTAAAAAAATGTATTTTGAAGCTGGGCATCAGTGGCTCACCCCTGTAATCCTAACTACTTAGAAGGCTGAGATCTGAAGGTTGTAGTGTGAAGTTAGCCCAGGCAAAAAAAGCTAGAAGCAGGGCTGTGGTTCAAGTGATACAGTGCAATTCTTGAATGAAAACGGGAGGTTATCCAGGCCCTGAGTTGAAACCCTAGTACTAGCACGAAATATGCATTTTGGGGACTCGGTATAGTGGTTCATGCCCAGCTGCTCAGAATGTAGAGATCTGAAGCATTGTGGTTCAAGGCCAGTATGGGCAAAACAGTTCATGAAACCTCCACATCTCAATCAATAAATTGGTCGTGGTGACACACATTTGCCATCTAGCTATGTCAGATTGTGGTCAGAGGCCACTCTGGACAAAAATATAAGATCCCTTCTAAAAAAATGACTAAAAAATCATAAATAACTGGGCATAGGGCTTAAATAGCAGAGCACTTGTCCAGCAAGTGTGAAGTCCTGAGTTCAGAATTATTTTTGACATTATTCAAAACTATTAAAATATTTTTAATTATTTTTTAAAATGCATTTATTCTAGAAGTACTGGCATTTCAGAAATAATTTTCAAAGGTTTGGAGCCAAAGTATGAAACAGAAAGTGAATATCGTTCCCTTCCATTTGATGCTCATGATGGACATTCCTAATCAATCAAAGCACTTTCCCTTGTTAAGCCCAAAACAAACCCCACGGCTCTTTTCAGCTAAGCACTCTAGGGCACTCACACCATTTCATAAACTCTCATATGTGTGGAACATGTCTGGAATAAGTAGATAAACCAAGATGACTTCTATTTTATCTCCTTCTAACCTATCATAGGCTATCTGTTTTTCACAGGGCGAATGAATATCAGAAGGTTCTCACGCCAGCAGCACCTTAGGTCACCTGGTTCTTGCTGATTTGTGCTGTGCTCATTTCATTTGCCATTTATATCTTTAAATGACAGGACCCAGAAATCAGTTACTTACTGACATGTTTATGATACAGCAAGTTATACTCCAATCATTCAAACCTATCGAGTTCCACTTTGAATAGATGTTCTTTGACTAAAAAGATCATATTATCTTTCTGCTAGAGTTCCATTGGTGGCACTGTATGTCTTCTTGTCTACAGATTCAGGCCCATATCACCATACAAACCTTTAGTGTCCCAGTGAATGACAGTGCAGAAATCACAAAGACACATACAGTTGTTACGGGGTTTCATTTGAAAAAGAAAATCATTATAATTCATTTATCTTGGGTTCCCACAATGGCCATTCTTATCTTGTTGGCCTCTATTGCCACTCTGCCAGTGATACTGAGTAGAATCCCATTTTCAATCATCTCTAGGGTGATACCTGGTTCATTAGGTTGACTTCATCACATCGACAGCTCCTGTGATCAAATAAGAAGATCTGAGAGGGCAGACAGACTCACCTCATCATAGATGCTGTCATTCCTGCGGAAGTCTCCAGCCCTCCTGGGAAGAACGTGGACATGAACATGCTGCAAATGTACAAGAAAGAAAAATAAATAAATAATAAATAAAATGTGATTATCTCCCCATATATTCTTAGACTTGACAGTAATGTTTTCATGGAGCCCAATTACTCCACATTGATTTCTGCAGGATTGTTTTTCAGAGGAAGATGATATTCACCTTTAGTAACTCTATATGAAATCTGCTGAGAACAGACAGGCACAAAGCAAGAGAGAGCAAGTTGGTGGCATATATGAATTTGAGTGAAATGCCAGAGTATTTTAGAGGCTCTCTGAAATTATTCAGACTTGTCACTCTTGGTTGTATTTAGCCAGGGCTTTGAAATGACAGTGTGCTTTAAAAGATGGCTATTGTGACTCTGCAACTGACAAAAGGTAAGAATTGGTTCACAGAGAACTGCCTAAAAGAGGAGGAAGTAATAAAGATCAAACTACAAACTCAGAGCTGTGAATAATACTCATAGAAGAGTAATGTAAACGATTATGATTCAGTAAGTTGTTGTTTACTATGAGAGCAAAGCTGTATATTTGGTATTATTTTGTATAGCATTCTTAAAAATCCTGTTTTAAAATTATGTCTGTTTTACAGATGAGGAAGTCAATGATCAGAGAGGTGACAGCCCCATAGGACATGTTAAGACTTAATACAGGAAAGGGGTCACCTGGGTCTGGCTACCTTGTTCTTCATTTGTTCATAATTCATTCTGTGAATTTAATCTTTTCAACGACCAATTTCTCTAGTCTATGATAGATATAGGTAGTATACATAGCAATGTTCTTATGGATTAACTGTCAATTAAGGTTCATGGTAGATCTAATACAATATATATGTACATATATATATATATATTCTTCAAGGTTAACCTGCCATGTGAAAGTTTTACTTTCCCAATAGCACTCATTGTATCTTGGCTAATGTTAAACCTTTTTCCTGGCCTTGAGCTATGTTTGGCATTTATTACAAATCATAGAGAAGAATATGAAAATGAAAAGCTTAAACATGAGGCAGGCAAAGAATCAAACTCCATCCCTGATCATGACCACCCCTCCATGATTACTGTGATTAGGACACCAGCCTTCAAAGAACCTCAACAGGACGTAAGATTAAGTGTTCCTGTGGCTTTGTGTATAAGGAAGGGAAATGATATGCTATTAATGCACAGGCAGGGAGCAAGGCAGTCTATGGTGAATTATGCAGAGAAGAACTTCAAGTTGGCTCTTGATAATATAGTCTCCAAAGAGTGACATGTTGGGGGGGGGAGGAGAGGAATATATTCTCAGGTCAACGATGAAGTCAGTCACAGACATCCCTCAGCAACTGTGGCAAGGGTGGACGTCAGTCACAAAAATTCTAAGAACATAGAGAGAGGGAGAAACAAAAACCAAACTAGCCAGGAACCAAATTCTGGTTGACATTGACTGAAGCCATGACCTGAATGATTTAAAAGGAAGACCAAGAGAAACCTTTATTATAATTAATATATGGGAAAATATGAGAGGAAAATAGAAGAAAATGAATAACCAAAATTTATTGGAGTGGTGGGGAGCTGGTCCTAGTTGGAGCATTGAGAACCAGTAGAGAGGGTAGATGAGAATGAAGGCTGCCAAAGTATTTTGTATGTCTTCATCTCTAACAGGGATTGCAAAAATTCCTGTTACATAGAGTTGTTAGGATTCAATCTGCTAAGGAAATGTTTAGCACATTGCTTAGCAAATAGCACTTAAAATATGCAGGTGCAGTGGGATTACTCACAATGTATACATATGTTTAAACTGAACCTGAAGACCAAGCAGAACTCTCATTGAGGGATTGATAACCACATGAGCAAGAAGCTCTTTGTATGGGGTCATTGTGAAAATGCTGCTTTTGACAAAGCTTGTTTCTGTGGCTTGGATGAGCAACTCTCATACTTCAGAATGTGTTTGGGGATTGGTAAAGTATAGATTGTCAGCCTGTCCCCATTTTCCTTTCTAACAAGCTCACAAGTGATACTTGAGAGTATCACTGCAGGCCAAGGCCATACTTTGAGAGCAGCCACTGCCTACAACCATCCACCTGCTTCCTTTCTAACCCGGCTCCTGCCAATTGTGCCAACGTAGGCACCAAGGCCTCTCTGTTTTGCCTACCCTTTGGAATTCTATGGAGACCTATTCATTAGTGTGTCTCTGGTTTCCTGTACTCTCACCATGGTCTCTGGTGATAGGTCAGTTATTATCCACCGCTAATATGGCTGGCCATGAACTTATCTTGGGGGAATGTCATTGGATGGAGCCTACCCTTACCTCATTTTATTTACTTTGCTCCACTGGCGCTATCTCTATAGGCTCTGTAACCACTTCACCCTGAAAATGCCACTGTTGGTCGTTTGTAGCCCTTTGAAACACACCATGACACCATATAATAAACAGCTTATTACTTAGGCAATTTTTCCTTAAGGACATAGATTTTACCTTATGTTGATACTTTGGCATAAATTCCTCAGTGACATGCTTCTGACAACCCACCCAGAGAATAGGGAATGCCATCATGCCCAAACCATCTCAAAGCCTTGTTGTTGTGGAAGAGACCATCAACACTGCCTTGGATGGAGTAGTATACTCCCAGTAACAGAGATCAAGGTGAATGTACATAACCAGCTCCTAGTGATTTCACGTTACTCGATGGTGGTAACAATGACTTTTCTAAGTGCAAACAGAGCATCTGCATTCTCCAGTGGGGCTGCAGTTTAGAGGCTTGAGTGATAAGAGTATTTTAAAAGTCCCATAACACATGTTACCCACATAACTTTCCAGTCAAATAAAATCTCATAATATTCATTGGCCCACTGATGTTTTGGAGAGTACTTTCTGACATGTTTATTGTAGATTTTTACATATTTTTTGTCATCTCTACAATACTTCTACAAAGGTAGTAATATTCTGCCACAGCAAGACTCACCTAAGGCATTGTGTCTATGCTCTTTCTCTGATATTTTAGAAAACGACCAAATATTCTCAACTTAAAAGAAGCAAAATGTATTTATACAATAAGTTGACATTCATCAAGATGCCTTATACTCACAAACTGACGTGTTGCATTGAAATGCCTTTGTACAACTAAAGGTAATAAAATTATTAAGTAAAAAAGAAAACCCACAAGAACTATTTTTAAAAGATTATTATGTTAGCATCAAATTAACATATGTGCAGCGTAGAAAATCAGTTACAAATAGAAAAGCAAAGAAGAAAAATTTCAGATCCCCAGTTACTCTTATAGCTAAGCAATAATGATTCCTTTGCTTCTGTCAGAGGGAAACAAATATAAATAGTATTCTTGTCTGCACTGACCCAGAAAATACACCTTAAAAGAAGTAGAACCTGGATCAGTAAGGGAGCAAGGGTCAAAAAAGCAAGAAAGGCAGCCAGTAAATGACATGGAATCAAGCAAGTTATTGCCATGCATGACTGGAGATTAGTTCTGCTAGAGAATTTTAGGAGGCAGTACAAATCATGCACCTTGAAGTTATCCCTCATGAGAGGTGAGGAAGCTGAACTATCTGTACAGTAGCTCTGTCCTCATTGGTTGAGGACTGCTCCAGGAAGCATCACAGTTACTGGGCCCTGGGGGCAAGATGATTGGAGTAGTATAAGATGTCATTTGCAGCAGCACTTTACAAAGTAGCGTATCATTTCTAATACTTAGGATCTCATACTCTGAAAGTTCATGGACTTGGCCACCTTCGCATGAAATAGGACAGATGAAGGGCTCATCATTGGTTTTCAAACTGCAATCATGAGGTCCTACTGTTCTCGATTCAAACCCGGGAGTAGCCAGGGATGGTTCATGCTGAAAACAAGAACCTTTCACAGGACAGGAGAGCAGGCTTCCGTGCCCCAGCCCCGATTCAGCCAGAGCAGTTCTGCTAGCTGTTTCTTTGTTGAGATCCCATATACAATTTCAGTTGCAAAAGTACTTATTATTATTGAAAACAAAACCAAAAGACCCCCATAAAAAATCCCATCCTCAAACAGTAAGGCTTAGAATCAGAAAATGTTAGGGAGTTGCTAACTGACAGAATCTAATTTCATTTCATTGAGGAGGAAAGTGACTTCCCTAAGAGCGATACGAAAACAATGATAGGTTTAAGACGAGAACCCCAAACCCCAAAGCCTTGTCTTCCAGGCTTTCTACCCATTTTCCTACTCTATCTGTCCTAGATCTCAGAGATGTACAAGTCACACAGACAAAATGCCAGGGTAAACCAGAACACTGTCTTTCACCAGGTGAGTTTCTTAAACCTTCTGTCACCTTTCAAGGAATCCTAAAACCACTATCTTAACACATGAAATTGTTGTACAAATTACATATGAAATTATGTACATGACATTCTTAGGCCCAACGCTGGCAGATCCTAAGTATTCAATGCATTCTGGCAAGGCTAATATTACATGACAGTGTCTCTGTAAACATTTTTTTTGACAACCAGCTTCTGCTATAAAGCAGACAGCTAAGTTCTTCAGTGAGCTGTGCTGAGTATATTCTTCTTCAAGCTGTCACCATTTCTAAGCTTGTGTTTTTGATATAGCTGGATTCTGCCTTTTTGGATTTGCACCAAAGAGAAGGCACCTTCTCTTTCTAGGTTGAGGGTCAGCCTGAAATCACTCAAAGCCACTTAGATGTGAAATAAATGTCACTAGAAATAATGCTGCTCAGAGAGCTTTGTGGACACCCCAGCCTCGTCCATGGAGGAGAATCAAAAGGCGCTGGAGACAGTGATGGTTTCACCCTTTTTTCAGTATTGCATCATCCTGGTGATGTTCAGGAAGTTTGTATGCCTTTCATGAAACAGGAAATAATGCTTTCAGGGGGAGGAGGGTGGTGGAGAGAGGATCCAAACTGTCACAGTCATGAAGGGAAACAAAGGGAGAGAAAAGATAAGGACACAATTCAGTTAACAAACAAAAAAAATATGCCTCTCAAATCTGTAGAGATCCTATAGAGTTTTGTGACTTAACAATTGTGTTTT